TGTGGTTGAAGTCCATAATCCCTTATCTCAGTTCTGAAATCAAAAAGCTCTATAAGAATGAAGGGTATTTTTTCATTAATTTGATTTCAAAATTCTTTTGGCAGCAAAAATTGACCTGAATTGACATAGACTCAGCCTTTATCCCTTTTAGTGTGAATATTGAGACATTTTTCCTACAATAATGTTTGATGTTTAATTAAGAGATATTTCCTCAGACAACAGAAGATGTATTATATAATAAACAGAAGTACTTTGTGTTACCTCTCTAAAATTTGAACAAAATAAATTCTAGATTCCAAAACACAGATAACAGACTGTGGACCTAAAATAATGATAGCTAACATTTATGGAGCACTTGCCATCTGCATGAAGTTGTACTAATCTCTTTTCATCACATTTAATCCTCATCAACTATGAGGTACCTATTAGTATTATCTTCATTTTAACTTTGGAAACCAATTCTTAGATAAAATAAGTAACCTGCCCTGAATCATAAAGCTTTTTGTCAAACCAGGATTTGGACCCAGGTTAGTTTGATTCTAGAACCTGCCTGCTTAACTCTTGTGCTCTGCTTCCTGGGATACATAAGCAGTTATGAAAGATAATGTGGGCATTTTGTGAGATTAATGCAGAAGCACAATAGGGCACCACCTGTGTTAGTCAAGTTTTGGTTAGTTTAACCAAAGTACTTGAGATAAGCTTCTTGAGAAGGAAGAGTTTTCTTTTAGTTTACAGTTTATAGTTCATCATTCAGCTTTGGGCAGCCCCATTAGTCTGGTATCTGGTGGAGTCTGGCAATAGTGATGCAGGTGTGGAGGAACAATCACATGATGAGTCAGGAAGCAAATAGAGAAGCTACACTGAACTCAGCTTAAATAATCAACTCTCTCACAAGAATGGCCTTCTGAGAGCAAGCCCCCTCCCATGATCTAAAGACTTCCCCTAGATACATCTTTCAGATGCCACAATTAGCATTACAGTATCAACTCTTAATGTAAGACTTCAGAGTTTAAATATCTTCATGAGTTTGGGGAACCAAGTCCTGTTCAGTTCCTAGTACCACCCATTCTATGTCATTTGAGGGCCAAACTCCTATTTCCTAATACGTTTCCTCTTCATCTCTACTTCCACGTGTCACTATTAATATTATTTATACCTGAGATTCATTTGGACAATAGTGTGCACAGGGACCAACTGACTTCCAAGTCAATTGGCCCACTCATTAAAATATACACTTTGGGGTACATTCAGACCTATGGAATCATATTTTCTAGAGAATGGGATCAAGTTGATGCTTAGGCATCAACTGATAGTAAACTAACTTACAACCAACTGATACTTACTAGGAATGACAGGGATGAAGCCATGTGTGAGTGCTTGGGAAGTGAAGGTGTCTAGAAGGTGCATCAGGACACTATACTGGTGAGATAATGAAAAGAAGACAGGAAGGGATGTATGACATTATGCCCTACTTTGGCAATATGTGATAAGGGTAAATTTTCACTACTGGGCATTGTTCAGCTGCGTTAGACCAATTTTGGAAGCAAATCTCATTTTTTTGCCACTCCAAGAATCTATTATTTCTACCACAATCCTCTGAGTTAGGCCAGATTATCATCATCCTCATCAGATTTAAAAAAGGAAAAAGAGGTCCCAATGTGTTCTTCAAGTTTGTGTAACTGATTGATACTAGTGTTTAGGTCAGGGTTTTTTGCCTCCAATATTATACTAATTCAGGCTTCCAATAATTTCTCTGTATGTCTAAAGAGGAGGAACCATCAACTAAATCTGCAGACAGAATCAATCTTATATTTAAAGACTCGGCCTGTGCTGCAGCTCACTAGGCTAATCCTCCATCTATGGAACCAGCACCCCAGGTTCTAGTCCCGGTCGGGGTGCCAGATTCTGTCCCGGTTGCTCCTCTTGCAGTCCAGCTCTCTGCTGTGGCCCGGGAGTGCAGTGGAGGATGGCCCAAGTGCTTGGGCTCTGCACCCACATGGGAGACCAGGAGAAGCACTTGGCTCCTGGCTTCGGATAGGCGCGGTGCGCCGGCCGTAGCGGCCATTTGGGGGGTGAACCAACGGAAAAAAGGAAGACCTTTCTCTCTGTCTCTCTCTTTCTCACTGTCCACTCTGCCGTCCAAAAAAAAAAAAAGACTCAGTGATGAGGACAATTTAAATACATTTAAATAATATAATACACAAGGAAAGGAAAATGAGAGGAATGGAAATGTGTAATAGTTCAACTAAGATGATGTATGATTGGGAGTCATTTTAAATTTTTACTGGTTGCTTTATTGTTATCAAGGTAGAAGGACCGCTGAACATTTTGATCTTTATATTCTCAAGAATATTCAGTTCCTGTTTGCGGGGTTCTCAATCTTACCTCTTCATCTTCTCTGTGATGAATCACATTTCCATGGCAACAAAATGTGACCTCAGGCAGGGACTAGGGAACCATAACAAATGGTTTAACTACTGTCATAGCAATCAGCAATGCAGGCTAAGTATGGGGCACTGAGGTTGAAGTCCAACCAGCGATTATTCCAATTTGGGTTGTTTCCTCTAGAGCAGTGATTCTCAAACTTCAGCGCACATTCTAATAATCTCAGGAATCTTGTTAAAGAATGAAAACTGATGCAGTAGTCTGGGATGGGACCTGAGGTTCTGCATTTCTAACAATTGCCAATGTGATGCTAGTGCTGATTGTTACCATGTCACATTTTGAGGAGCCAGGAGTTTGAGCTATCTGTATTCTTGGGCAGTATATGGAAATGAGCGCATTGTGGTCCTGGAGGAAGTGTTGTTTCAGACAGCAGTCCTAATGAGCATGCCACATTGGATAAGAACTAGCTTTGTGACCAGGAGCAGACATCTTTGTCTCTCTGAGTCTCTGTTTTCTCATCTATAAAAATATAAATTTGGCCTGGACAATCTCACAATCACTTTGGATTATAAAACTCTATGGGTGTCTGATTTAAAAAAAATACTTTAAAGTCAAGGCTAGTCTGAGGGAAAATCAACCCAATAGTATAAAGAAGGGAGGTGAGGACACAAGCTGGGAGTCAGCAGATGCCACTGGGCCCCTCCCGCCCAGCATCACCTCCCTGCTGCCCGCCTGTCATCCTCTTCTCCTGAGCCAAGTCCAGCACCTGCATCAGGTGCTCATATTTTTGGTTGGTGTCCTCCACCTGGGTCTTCAGCAACAGTGCCATGCTGCTGCCTGGGAGGGCCTGGACAAAGGCTTCACACTCAGCCATGCTATGCATCTTCTTGGGTTCAATACACAGCAGCTGTGTGGACCAGACCCCCTTGGGTCAGCAGCCCCTTCCCCAAGGATGTGCCTGGGATAGGCATGTGGAGACCCCTGCACTTCAGGGGCAGTGGGAGCGGCTGGGGAGCCTGGGCACCAGCCCTGCAGCCTGCATTATTAATCAGTATGGCAGGGAAGACCGATGAAGGTGGACTGTGAAGCAACAGGTATTACCAGCATTGGCTGTAACAGGACTGGTAATCCCTACCACAGAGGCTGCTGGGAGGACATGGGGAAACCATTTGTGGAAGCAGCAGGTGTGGGACGCAGGGCACCTGCCAGGGCTCCACCCATCACCAGGTGCATGACAGTGGAGGCAGGTTGATGGAATCGGGGAAGCCAGAAGGCCTCAGTGGTATGTCTGGATTCAAGCAGCTGGCGGCTGGGCTGAAATTTCAGAGCCTGGCACTACCCGGTTTACAGTGCTTGGTGTGGTGCCACTCAAGCCAGAGTAGCCAACACCATTGCTGATGCAAGCCTGGGCCAGGTGCTAAGTAGGTGCTGGACAGCCCCACTGAGGCCACATGAGCTTTGCTAGCTGCCTCCTAGGCATGCATCAGGGAGTGGGGGGCACCAGGACTAGGCACCTTCACAAGGGCCTAATCCTTGGTCTAGAACTCAGACTGGTAACAGAAATGTGCCTCCCCGGCCAGTTCAGGACATGGTTATGGTGCCCAGCTGCTCACAGTGAGCATCTGCAGGGACTATCCCAAGACTCCACAGGGGTCTGACGGTGAGTAGGGGCCCCGAGGCCAGCCTGTGCCCTGACCCAGCAGTACCTTGAGTTCCTTGACACTTGGCGCTGTCCTGTATGGCCTGGCTCTGCTCCAGAGGCATCCACAGGATGCTGGTGATGACCTTCTCCTGCTGCTCCAGATCGTGGGCCACCTTGTCCAAGCCAGCCAGCAGCTGCTGCCCCTGCAGGTCTGAGGCATCTGCCAAAGAGGGACATGGGCCACAGTGGGGGTTGGGAGGTGAGAGCCAGGGGCCTCGGAGGCCAGTTGGGACCGCTGGGCAGGCAGCCTCCCCTGTCCCTCTGGTGCCAACCCTCACCATCCCAACCAGAGCACAGAACCTGGTACCCCAAGGCCTTGGGCAGTAGGCCCCAGTGCCCATCTTCAGGGTTTTCCATCTTCAGCACTTTGTGCCACTGCTGGAGTGCGCACTTGCTCCCAGCTGCCTTCTGCCACACTTTCTGGTATGGCTGCCAGGCTGTGAGTAAGAATGAGCTGGAGCCTTGGGCAACCTACCATCCTCTCAGGCCATGGAGTTGAGAGGCTTGCACTGGCACCGTCAACAGCCCAGAGGAGCCCTGCGACTTGGCAAAATGCTCTGTAAGGCTGGAAGCATGATGATGATGGCCAGGGCCTGCTGTGATACTTGCCTGCCATTTCCACTCCTGGGTTCAGAAAGATACCTACCACCACTACTGCCACCACCACTGCCTCCCTCCTTCCTCTCCTTGTTTCAGAGCAGTCATGCTACCCAAAATTATCTGTTTGTTCATTGGTGCTCCCCACCAAGATGTTAGCCCCTAGGGAGTGGTACACAGTAGGTACTTAATAAGTAGTTGTTGGATGCATTAAATAAATAAATAAAAAATAAAGAAAGGGAGGGAAGAGAGAAAACTACTCTGACTGTTGTATATATCTTCTTAATTCCAAATCCTCTATGTGTTCAAAGGTAATACATTTCTTCTGAATGTGCAGAACATTGGCCTTCTCTGTAAAGAAGAGGCAACATTGAGGGACGGACCACAATTATTGAGATCTCTTCAACTCAGTTCTCAGCATCCCCTGGGACTTCTTAACAACTAAGAACCTTGGCTATTTGCTCATAACACTGCCTCTTTGACTATAGAAGAAATTCATTGTCTATCCTTTGATCTCCAGTACTGTTACTCAATTCTCCTCAGTCCAACCTGATTCCAAGAGATATAATGGAGGAGTGCACAGAATCATCATCTACCTTGCAGGTAGAGCCTTCCTTTCCTCAGGCAGAAAATCTGAATCTGCAATCACAAATGCAGCATCTGGCAAAGGAGAACCTTGCTCTTAGAGGCCAAGGCACACCTACCTTGGCCTCAGCCATGATGCCTGTACCTTGCTCACTTGAACACTTTGACCAGTTTCATGATGACCCTGCCAGTCTCTCAGGATTTCTTGCTCAAGTGACTACCTACTTGACAGCTCTCAAGAGGAACAATCCTACTGATGGTGACAAGGTCAAACTCTTTTTCGACTACATATCTCAGCAGATGAAAAGCTATAGGGTCACATCTGGGCCCAACGAAAATACTATGCTGAAACAATATGAGAACTTTGTTCTTGAGTTCCAGCGGTCATTTGGTGAAGCCACAAAACAGGAAATGAATCCTCTGATCAATGCTCAAGTTGTCAAAGGGAATACCTCTTCTGATCAAGACACTACTATTTTACAGCTCCTGACCCCACATCTGAGCTGTAATGAAATCAATAAGAATGATCTATTCCAAGAGGGACTATCTGATCCCATGCTGGATGAAGAAAGTGTTACAGATATGGACAACCTTCCAGACCTTATCACTCAGTGCATTCAGTTGGAAAAGAAACGTAATGACAGACCAGAGCTCCTACAGTCAGAGACCCAGCTCCCAGTATTGGCTTCTTTGATCCACCACCAAGCCCTCTCTAGCTCCATAGGTCTACCACCAAAAGAAGAGCCTACACAGTTGCGAGGAGGCCAGCTGCCTCTCACCCCAGCCAAACGTGCCCGCCAGCAAGAAACTCAGTTGTGTCTCTACTGTAGCCAATCTGGTCATTTCGCAAGAGATTGCCTTGCCAAACGTTCTCGAGCCCCAGCAAGGACAAATAACTCACCTTACCAGTAAGAAGAGCCCAGGAAGATCACTTTGCAAACTTCATGTCCCTCTCACCCCCAGCCTTACTGACTTATATCCTGCATTAACTTTTAAAATACAAATTAGGATCTGTGATATCACTTTACAGCTATGAACTTGCGCTTCTGAGAATTTAAACAACCAGATCTTGTTCATTAGAAAGTGACCCTTCACCAAACCTGACCCAACAAGGATGGAAGCAATTCACAGGACTTTTTGGCAGTTGGGATGAGTTCCCCAAGAGTACTAAAAGCCTATGGGCAAAATTCTGTCCAGTCTGAGTCATTGAGAATAACCTTAGCAGTGCATTGGGAAACGAATACCCACCACTGGGTGAGATATGGTTATTTGCTAATCTAAGTCCTGTATCTTGTTTGCCTAGAATTCAGCCCAAGCATTTTACCCTCACCCTTATTTCTCTACATTCTAGTTCTCTTTTAGTTTAGGACCTTTGGCTAAAGTTCTAATTACATTCCCATATTCTGCTGATATTCTTCTCCTAGAGGCTAGATCCTGCTCTATTAATTATGATCAGTTTCAACACAAATTAACCTTCCTGGAACCACAGCATTTCCACCCTTCCTTAATGATATGCGTTTTCTTGCCATGTAAAGGTTCCTACTTGCCCAACAAATAGAACCTCTTGATTATTGACAAATCAGATTATATGGCCATTTAAACATTCTGTTTGGAACTGGTGTTCCACTTATTTGAGGGACAGCACTTCTTACCAGAACATACATTTAGCCAAACATTACCAATCACAGCTTACTTCCCTGAGAACCCTACCTGAGCTCCCAGCATATCTTATGGCCAAGTCAAAATGGTCTGGAATAATGATGACCTCTGAAAGTATTAGTGAAAGTTGGGGGAGATGTCTCATCATCAATTCCTATGTCTACAGTGTGCCCTTGCTGCCTTGGACAGGAAACTTGGTCAAATGAATCGCCACTAATACATAAGAAATCCCATGGTAGTTCTTTTCTCTAGGGGACTCAATATGGCCACCATCTAGCATCACTGCACATTGCTATTGATCTGTACCCTTATGAACCACTCTAGGATTCTTACCTATTTTGAGGATATTGAAAAGCAAAGAATGACAGACAGCTGCTGAATCATCTCATCTGAAAAATCTTGGGGAACTTATAGTAATACTAGTCTGTCTGCAAAATTCAAGAAATGGTGGTTTCATTGTGTTGGCATTCTTGATACGCATCAACTCTATGTGTAGATCCCTGATGTTTCTGGACAAAAATAGTGGTATGCTGAAGAGGCACAATTCTAAGATGTTAAGGATATCCAGTTATGATCAGTGGCTTCTGGTAATGATCAACCCTCAATTACTTGATTCTTGATGCTGAAATATGTCCCCATAATAGATCTCCTAAAGAAATATCAGTAATCCCATATTCCCTAGTGGTGATTGCAGTCTCTAAGAACAGGAAGTGCTTTGGCCTTGTTCTTACAGAATTGCGCTGAGGCTTCAATACTTAAATCTAGCTAGGACCTTATATCTCATCCTGTAGAACAAGTGAACAGAACTTTTCACCCATCAGTGCCTCACTAACTGTTGTGCCAATCCTTATTTGCATTCACAAAGGGTCTCCTTCATCAGTTGCCTGCTATACTTCCACATTACTCCTTAAATTCCCATAGCAAGGAGACCTGAATGCACATATTCCAGTTATATCAAGAAATTCTCACTGCAGTACTGGGATTGTATAAGATCATCTAACAAGTAGATCTGTTTGAACTTTTGGTGATCTGGGTTTACCTAGATGTATCCTGATCTCTCTTCACAAATTCTATAATAAAGTACTAACCCTAACACCTTCTAGTCACTTTCCTTACCAACCCCAATGCTGATAGGAGCATTCAGTTCACTTAATCACCAATCTATTTCTATTTTCAGACCACAATTTATCAACATGGGCTCTCTTACAAAGATGTATCACCTTATTTATTGTTTTAACTTTTGTTTGAAAAAAATACCTTAATCCCCAAACAATATCCACAATTCATAGCCTCTCAGAATAATATAATCAACCCAGAGCTATGAACTGCCGTTCATTTCCCACTTCTAAAGGCCTCTTGTTGAGGTATTCCTAATCAAGAACCTCTTGTATGCTATCTATGATTGAACAACTAGAATGAGCATATGAACGGGATTTGGGGATAATGTTTTACTCCCAACTAGCTAACAATCATTTTACCACTTCAAAATTTTGTTGTACTGACACCATCCACTATATATCATCCACTTCAATGAGAACAAATTTCTCTGAGAGAAAATAATTAGAATCCAGACAATGGATGATGATGATATGTAACCTACTCAAAGATGTGACTTGTAACTGCAAAGACTGGAGGAACTTCCAGGTCCAATCAAGGATGTAGTTTTATGGAGACAGATCTGCTGCATGATTGGTGCCACATAGAAAGACAGAATTTAGTCATTTTGTGAAAAGTCCTAAAAAAGAATTATTAACAGAACTATAGTGGAGTCTAGACAAGGAGGCAATTAAAGAAACATAGGGCACCTGTAATCTTTCTAGTTTCAAAGATGGAATGTTGACCTGAAAAACATTTGTCCAGTTCCCCCCAACCCACCCCTTTAGTGTGGTAGAGGCATCAAACCATCCAAATTTGTGCCATAAGCCATTAAGATGATCACCTAACTTCTGTGCTCTGAATCCATGTCTCCGAGCAATCTGGTTGTAATTGCCTTCCTGTATAAACTTTGCTTTGGAAAGACAATCTAACCAACTGACAGGAATGTTCTACCCTACTCAGCAGTTCATTCTCATTATAAAAGAATAAATCACTGTTTGGCTAATGCATCATTTTCTTGTGGGTTTTAATAGCATCAGTCTTCTGGATCCTAATCACCTCTGAGTACAGCGAAAAAAAAATCAAGATTCTCATTATGCAGTCAGTAACATAATATAAATCACAGTGAGTCCACTGAAGACTGATCTCCCTAGGAACTTGGACTCAGCATCAGCCAGCCTTCTTCTTTATCTCTCACATTTGTCTGTAGCTGTCACAAAATTCCTAAATATCTATGGTTTTCATCTGTACTTACCTCCACTCATACCCAGAAGCATGGGTACCAGGCATAAATGATTGCCTCTTATAATACTGCATAGTTCAGTCTTCAGAATACACTACCATAGATAAACACAAAATGCATGATTGTAGACCTAAGCTGCTGAAAAGCACACTTGGAGAGGGATGATGAGTACATGATTGACCTCATTCTCACCTCCATTCTGTCCAGATGGTAACATGTGATATTGTCACTGTCTTCATTTGTATCCATGATGATACAACAAATAGTACCCTTTACTGGAGTCAGGAAGATCATTTCCACCCAGTGCCATCTTGCCTACAAGCACAATAGTTACCTGTGAAGTAAAGTAAAGCATTTAGAATTTGAAGAATCTCTACAAATATCTTGGCAAAATCAAACACCTCATGGCCTTAAGAGGGCTCTGGAGCTTATGTCACATCTGTAAACCTCTTACATTTGGGGCCTATTTCACTGTCTCCCTATGAGACTCCAGATGTCACTTGGCCAAAACAATGTAAAAATGCAAGGGAACATGGTATCATGGGTTTTCAATGTCACCTTGGGACAAGAGTAACAGCCCATGTTTTAAAAACAGAAGTCCCAAAAGTAAGTTACACTATTTCTTAGAACCAGTAGAGCTATTTCATATTGAAATTATGTTAGTACCCAGACCATGCTGTCTTGTCATTGATCACCACTATAGCTTTGACTATTCATGCACTAAATCAATGGTTTTGTTTCCTGGTATTGGCTTTGATTATTCAGTCTCTTTTAACTTATTTACTGCTTGTTGACTCTTAGTACTTGTCCAGCTCAGGGACAATTATATTCCACCAGTCTATTTGTGCTTATGACAATCCCAGTAACCCACTGAAGGACTGTGTAGACTTTCAGTATTCCCTCTGCATAGGAGACTCACTCCTTTGGACATAAAATCTGGCTTTGTGAACATCTAAGAGAAAACTGATATTTGGTAAATTCCTCCTTTATTCCAGGTACTATGCTCAATGCTTTAATTTGTAAATGATACTCATTTAAGTACTATATTACTAAAATATATCTGTTTCTTGCATTTAATCACCACATTTTTAAGAGTGCTGTAATTTCAATTTAAAAAGTATGAAGTGAATATTCACAGCAGTTAAATTACATTCCCCAAAGCCATGTGGCTAGTAAGTGACTGAACTAGAACTTTGAAAGCATATCTTTCTGATTCTCTGATAAAGAAGGACAACTCTCTAAGTCACATCCATCCTGATGACCCTAACTAACTCCATTATATTTCCCATAATCATTCCATACACAGAGGACACTCTTGTAACTATTATCCATATAGCCATTAGTTGAAACGCATGTTCTGGACAGCAATTTGTAAAGGAAGCATAGAACAAATCAGTGTCTTCTAGGACTTTGAAATTTCACTTGTGTTTCTAATGAATCAGGGAAAATTCCTTGAAACATCTAAAATATGCACTGTGTCTGCATTATCTGATTGAGTAGGTTCTTGCTTATTGAGTCAGAATTCTAACGAAGTTTTCTAAGTACAAAGGCTTCATATTTCCAAAGCTTTTCATTCAAAGCTATTGAGTTTTTGTTTTTGTTTTTGTTTTTTCGGGGAGGAGGATGATGTTTACAGTGGCTTTATAATACTAGGAGACAATAATGACTTTGAAGTCTTCTGATGCTTATCTGTCATCATCATGAGAAAATCAAGATTAAAAGAAGAGTTGATTAATTCACACAGCAGTTAGCCATTTAAAGTTGAGAATTGTGCTTCACTGTAGCAACCTTGGGGAATATCCAGTCCAACATGTGAGTATTTATAGAAATATAGTCCTGTTCTCTTTGACATTAACCATGAGTTTACTAACAACTATCAAACATTGTTTCTTTAGTTATCCATGATGATGCTATCATCCCTGAATCCTTTATTAAATATATTGGTTTTCAGCCTATAACAGTTCATGAGGAAAAGAAGATTACATGCTTAGAACCTGTGATTTAAATCAAACTTCCGGCTGGTGCCACAGCTCACTTGGCTAATCCTCCACCTGCAGCGCTGGCACCCTGGGTTCTAGTCCCGGTCGGGGTGCTGGATTCTGTCCCGGTTGCTCCTCTTCCAGTTCAGCTCTCTGCTGTGGCCCGGGAAGGCAGTGGAGGATGGTTCAAGTCCTTGGGCCCTGCACCCGCATGGGAGACGAGGAGGAAGCACCTGGCTCCTGGCTTTGGGTACGTGCAGTGCGGCGGCCGTAGCGGCCATTTGCGGGGTGAACCAACGGCAAAAGGAAGGCCTTTCTCTCTGTCTCTCTCTCTCTCTCACTGTCCACTCTGCCTGTCCAAAAAAAAAAAATCAAACTTCCCCTTATGTACATCAAATTCACCTATCAATAATATAAGGGCATCCTCATCTCCATTCAATTGTTCCAGGATATGAAAGAGTATGTATTCACACTGATCCTCTCATATTAAATTTAGAAGCTTCAAATATTGTCACTGAGTGCTTGCTATGTGCCAAGAAATGAAGTAAAAAGATTTATCTGTGTAATTTCCACAATGGCCTCTTGAGGGAGATACCATTAATATGGCTATTTCACAGGTGAAAACAAGTGAACTCATAGACTTTAGGTAATCTATGCAAGGTCACAAGCTAATAATGGGCTGCAATGCCAGGAATGAAAGAATGGGGCCATAGTCTTGACCAAAATACTACATGCCATTCCCATATTGTTGTCTCAAGCTAAAACATCCTAATCTTTTTAGTGAATCCTCATCTGTTCACCTGTCTAGATAGGTGATATGTTTAACATATCCTTTCCAAACCTTTCCCAGCTCTACTCTGTCTCCAGTGGAGGACAATCATTACAAATATATCTAAAATTTCAGGTGTATACATAAAATAAATTTGAATAAGATATTTTTTAAATCACTAATTCTTTTTAAAAATGATAACTAGTAATTTTTTGGTCTTTCTTAAATTTTATCAGTGTCCTGAGAGAAGAATCATTGTGTACTCTTACCTGAAGGTCATAATTCTCTTTCTTGAGTTGTAATTGATGGCACAAAGCCCATTACCATAAAAATGTAGTTCAACTATGTTTCAATAAATGAATATCCTTAAAGTGACACCAAGGCTCATTTATTTCCTTCTTTCTCAATGCTCTTATAAGATTTTCCAGTATTTCCCTCCACTGTCTTGCTTAATAATTATAACAATAGTTAATATCAATTGAGTACTTACTGCATCCCAG